TAATGGCACATCAGCAGCTGCAAGCACATTCTGCCTGCCAGTGATTAGGTTTCTCCCAATTACCCTTTAGAGCGTATCAGGACAGCTGCCATTTGTCTCAATCCACAACGAACAACGAGCAACAAGCCAAGGGGCACGAATCTGACAGGAAACAGATGCCCCAGCCAGGCTGTATCAAACCTCTCTGCTGGAAAAACACGCCAGATACACGAGGGGATACAGTTGTAACCATCGAGATACAATTGTCCGCTAACGGATTTCTTAGAGGGCCCCTTGGTTTCTCTCCTTTGTTACCCGTGGAGTTGACAGCCTGAGTTCAGCTGGGTTAATGCTGAGACACTCTGCTACAGAATTAAGAGGTCGAAGGAAAAACGGGCTAGAAATTAATTTTTTTTTGTTCTTTAGCACCTTCAAGCTGAAAGCCATCAGATGCCGTGAGGTGTGGTGGTACCTCCTCCCCTCACGTTCCAGGGCACAGAAGCCCCAAAGGGAGCTGACCCCTCATTCCTTCCATTTGCTGTAAACAGCATTTGATGTATGCACCGATTTCACCCCAGTATTTTAGCTAGTCCATACATCTGGATAAACTGGCGCAGGACACATCACTGCTGCATCTGGAAACCTTCCAGATTTCACTGAAGCAATTAGGGAATGTTGTACCAAGCCCAGCAGCCCTGGTTCCAAAGCCCTCCCTCCCAGCTCTCAGGCACATTAAATTATCTCATTTGGTCCTCAGAGGGCACCATCACTTGTTTTCCTTCAGTGCCCTTCTCTTATTGGATGACATTTCCAAGGCATGTGTGTATTCTTCACAATACATTGCACCAGCACAAGAAATCTCTGTTTCAACTACACGTTCCCCAATACTGAGAGGGGACAAGGAAAAAAGAGAGTGCACAAAATTCTGCCAGCGCTTTGTCAGATGCAAACTCACCTCCTGGGGAGGAATATCGAAAGAGATGGTTCTCATATCGACCTTGATGAAGCTGTCTGTGCAGGGCAGGACGAAAAACAAACCTGTGCCAAAAAAATGCGTTGGAGAAGATGTGAAAACGGGAGATCAAAGCAGAGGAAACTCGCTGCTGAAATCAGCTGCAATCCCAGCACCGAGCCTGTGCAGCTCTCTGGGAGGAGCTCAGCACCACAACGCTTGTCAGGGCTGCCAAACCAGGGCAAGGCTTTCAAAAACACGTGGGGAAACTTCAGTTTTGTCCAGGTACCGCTTACTTAGAGATTTTTAACGTTTGGGAAAAAGACCCCAAAGCTGTTAACAGCTCACTTTGAAAAATGCCCCCCTACAGAGTTACTTGTGGGGCCTAATTCTGGCAAGCAGAAAGTATCAACCTCCTTTTGTTCACCGATCATTGAAATCCGTGAGCTTTACAGCAGTGTGGAACATTGCAAAACCTGGGTGAAATGAAGCAAGAAGCTCTTGCCCCTTTCTGTCACTCTGGGCAGCGGGAGCAACAGCTGAAAACAACATTCTTGCAGGTGCCAGAGTTCCTAATGCACACAGGCAACTTTTCAAAACCATCAAATACTTTAATGGCTTCTGTCACTTTTGAAGGGCACCAAGGCTCTCAGACCAACTGGGTTTTAACTGATAGATCAATCTTCTTTTTTCCAAATGCATTTGATGCCATTATTCCTCCCTTTACATTCAATGCTTTTGACTCCACCTGCCCATCACACATTACCAAATCAGAGCCGGGCCAGGCTCACGGATAATTAGTGTAATTAGCTGCCTTCTCCACAGAAAGGATGAATCACAGAACACTCTGAGCAGGAAGGGACCCACGAGGGCCATCGAGCCCAACTGCTGTTGTAACACATCCTCTTACTGGAACTTACAGAACGCTTGAGAAATCCATTCCCCACTCTCCTGCAGTGCCCCTGCCCAGCTCCTGCTGTGCCAGTGGCTGATGAGAACAGACCCTCCCCAGGACGTACCTGGTCCCTTGGCTCCCCCCTTCAGGATGCGGCCCAGCCGGAATATGATGGCGCGCTCGTACTCCTTTATGATCTGCAACACATTGAGGGGGGTCATGCCGGGGTCTCCAGAAGCCACAGGATGGATTCCAAACTATCACACACCACTCTAAGACAGCCTTGAGCCTCACATTTAACACACTGGCTGCTCTTGGGAATTTTAGCCTAAACTTTATTGTCTAAGAGCAAAAGGAGAAATCAGGACGATATTCCACAAGAAATACTCCTCAGACTATCACCAGGATGTCACCTGAGCAGGTCCAGGCACTAGCAGCTGCCATCAGGAATATCCTGGCAACAACACAACAAAGTGCTGTATTTGTGACCCAGCAGGGATTTTTTTCCAGCTCCAAATCTGATGCTGTACATCAGCCAAACCAGGAGGAAATAACTCCTCCTGCCTGGAAACTGGGAACACCAAGCTCCAAGTGATCCCAGATGACACAGTGTCTTCAAATGTGTCACATACAGCCACAGCCAGGGACAGACTTACATATTTATAATTCCACACTTCATAGTTAGACATATGCATAGATAGGGGTCTCCTTAAAAAAACTAAAAATCAAAGTATCAGTCCTCCAAGAGTAATTGTGGGTTCTTGCAATTAATTCTGACCTCCCAGCTTAGCTCACGTGCCACTGACACCAGGGCAGACGTAGTAAAGACATCAGTGCGTGAATCATTTGGACAAAATATTGTAACAGCACTTTTGTTTTTGGTGTGAAGATGAATGCACTGAAGAGCTGGGTCTGCTGCACACACTGCCTGCTACAGTTCAACAGAGAGCAGAGTGGGATTAATTTGTGTTGAAAACAAGTTACTCAGACTGAGAACAATAATAACCGCTCTGCATTGCTTAAAGCTTTAATCCAACTTAGCAGTGAACAGTTTTACCTTTATGCACATCCAGATGGATATGGGAAATGTAAGAACAGTGAAAACCAGCGAGGTGATCACCAGGATCCATCCACACACACCGAGGCCAGAATCGCTCTCCTCTGCAGGGAAAGAGAAGAAATGTCCCGATTTTTAAAACCAAGAGTGCCTGTTAAAGAAAGCGCCTAAACTGGGTATTTATGTTGAATATTCCTTGAAATAAGCCACTATTAGCACTACTCCTCTGGCCCAGAGCATTCTGTTTGGATGAGAAGTCAGACTGTGCCATGATGGGGTGTGTTTCACAGTACAAGAAGTGAGAGAGATGCTGTCTTGTGGGAAACCACCTCCAACCATGCCACTGGAATTCTCTCCTGAGTTAAAATGCTGGGAAGCCCACAGCTCGGATTTATAGCCCGCCGTGGTGTGCAAACCAAGACCACCTATAAAAAGCAAAAATTCTCGAGCCATCTCTTTAAGAGATAAACCACAAGGAGAGGAATATTAAAAAAAAAAAATTTAATTGAATCAGCCTTCAACGCCTTTGATGCTGACGGGAACAGTCACCGTTACTTTAGCAAGGATTTATCACTTGGATCATCAAACAGTATTAAGAATTTATAATACACACTGAGTGCTGGAGGCTGAGAGGGTAGGGGAAAGTTCTCGTTAGTGCTTGAGGTGTGGCACACCCTCCAGTTGGGATTTACTTCCTCCTGGAAAGGCTCCACAGTCCAAAGGAGCACATGGCTGTCAAGCAGCAAAGATGTGCCTGGGCACCGGCAGAGGCAGGACCTTCTCCCAACCCTGCCAACAACCACCTGACTGAAAACAAAATGCTGCTTTCAGTGAGATCTGAAGGTCTTCACAGATGCTCCTCAGAGCCTTTCGCATAGGAAATAGCCAAAATCACGACATCTAATAACCAAATCTACGTCTAATGCCGTTCAGCCCGTACTTTACTGTGATCACACAGGGGCTGCAGGAGAAACCTCATCAGCAGCACATTTGGGAAGGGTTTGATGAGTCCGAGATGAGGTTGGCACCAGTGTCCATGGTGAGGAATTAATAACTAACATAGTTACTGCATGAAATGCAGATCCTCTCCCAGGATACCGGCACTAACATGTGCCATTAGGCACGAGGCTCAAACAGGTCTACAGTTATTTATACCACAACTCAGATTACCCAGCAAAGGGCTTCCTATGCAAAGCCATCTTATATTTCCTCCTCTAGTTGCAAATGAGAAGACCATAAAATAAATCATGACTTTTCCGTTGCCTGAACAATGGAAGCAACAGGAAAGCAGTCCAGCTTCCAGTGACTGAAACTGGAGTCAGTTCTGTGATTTCAGTGCATCATCTCCAAAACGCCCTGACCTGGGTCCCCCTCACACCTGCTGACCGCAAGGCCAAGATCCACTTCATTAACGACACCAAGAACTAATAATTAACTACAACTCCATTGCCCCACTTGAGGAAATATAACTGATTTCTCCCACTCCCCCCAGTGTCATCTACAGACCCCTGTGCTGCAGTGACTAGCACCGGTGCTGTCAGCAAGCAGCCAGCCCCCAGACCCTGCCCCATCTCATTTACTGGTGCGGCGCCCCGGGAGTTACTCATGTTGACTCTGCTCATCGCTATTTGCGAAGCTTTCCCCTCAGCGATCCGTGTTACCGCACGGCAAAGGAAATCCCCAAAAACCCCCCCGAGCTGGGCCAGCGGGGTGATGCTCCGGCACCTCCCCGAGGGCGGTTTGAGGGGCCGAGACACTGCCGGGAATCGACACTTGCGGGAATCGTGCCCCGTTAGGCGGGCGGGGCAGCGGGCGCAGCCTCCCGTTAGCCGGGGCTGGGGGCTCAGACCCCCCTATTAACCGCGGCTGGGGGTTCATTGCCCCGTTAGCACAGTCTGGGGGCTCAGAACTCTCCGTTATCGCGGGCTGGGGCCGCTCCGGGGCCGGTCAGACCCCTCGGCGCCCGGGGCTGAAGGAACCGGCGGCCGCTCCTCGCTCCTCCCGGCGGGCTTAACTCCGCCGAAGGATCTTCAAACTTTCCTTCGCGGCCAAATAAGACAATCACCGAACAGTAATTCAAACCGAAACAAACAAACAAACAAACCCAAATCGGGGAGAAAGACCCGAAGGCGCCCCGCGCTCGGAGCGGCCGCTGAGGGGCCGTTTGGGGACAGCCCCCTGCCCGCTCCCCCTGCCGCCGTTACCTGGCGCCCGCCGCGACTTGGGCGGGAGCCCCGCTTCGTGGTCTGCCATGGCCGCCGCGTCCCCTCGGAGCCCCCTCGGCGTGTCCTCGGAGCCTTGGCCGTGCCCGCCGTGCCCTCCGCGCCCTCTCAGAGCCGCGGCCGGTCCCTCACGGCTCCCTCAGCGCCGCCGCCGCCACGAGCCCGCCCCGCCCCCGGAGCTCTCGGGGTGTGGCCGCGGCCGCCGCGCGCCGCCTGCCCCGCCCCCGCCGCCAGGGGGCGCCCCCGGCCCTGAGGGGATGGAGGGGCCGCCATGTTGGGACCCTCTGAGGGGATGTGGAGGGGGGGCCCTGAGGGGATGGAGAGGGATCCCTGAGGGGATGGAGGGATTGCCACGGCGAGACCCCTGCCCGCAGCACTGGGCTCGAGGGGCAGCGGCTGGAAGCAGGCCAAGGGGAGCAGGCAGGGCAGGGGCGGCAGCGAAAGCACGAGGGGACGGCAGGGAGGAGCCATCGCCTGAGGTAAGCGAGCCCCGGCAGCCCCTCCTGAGGGGAGCAACAAGGCAGGTTCCGGCTGCCCTGGCCTCGTGTGCGGTTTAATGTGCGGGTGGAACAACTGTTCCATGAGGAAAGGCCGAGGGAGCTGGGGTTGTTCAGCCTGGAGAAGAGAAGGCTCCAGGGAGGAGGAGCCCCTTGCAGTGCCTAAATGAGGCCTACAAAGTCCTCGGCAGGGCCTGCAGGGCCAGCACAAAGGGGGTTGGATTTAAGCTAAATGAGGGTTGATTTAGTTTAGATATAAGGAAGAAGTTTTTTGCAGTAAATGAGGGTGGGCAGGCCCTGGCACAGGTTGCCCAGAGAAGCTGTGGCTGCCCCTGGATCCCTGGAAGTGTCCAAGGCCAGGTTGGATGGGGCTTGGAGCAGCCTGGGATAGTGGAAGGTGTCCCTGCAGGGGGCTTGGAATGACAGGAGCTTTAAGATTCCTTCCAACTCAGGCCCATCTGGAATTCCATGAAAGTAATATTTTTGATGGGGGAGGTACGGTCTCACATGAAAAACTGAATAAGGAGCAGCTTTCAAGCTAATAAAATCTACTTTTTAACTGTTCCATTTGAGTAATAATATGCTAATGCACACCGTGTTTCTTTCTGTGATATGCTGAAGTGTGTGTCCAAATTGGAAGGGAATTCTGAGGGGAAAAAAACCCTGCTTTTCAAAAATTCATCTCAAGTTTCAGGTTTTACTGATTTTCTTCCTCGCATATTGCAGGACACTGATGGAGAGTTTGGAGCTTTCACCCCTTTTGGAAGATGCCAAGGTTGTGACCTCTGCTGCTTCCCTCCAAAGTCCATCCCACAGAGACAGGGTGAGTGCAGGTTATCACATCACACAAAGGCATTGCCTACCAGGGGCTGTAAAGATTGTTGCATTTGATGAGAGCTCCAAGGTTGAGTTCTGTGTTAGTGTGAATTATGAGGACCGCAGATGAACCCTGGCTATTCTTTAACCTTTACCTCTGGGTGAGATGTTGGTAATCAGAAGGCAGGGAAGGGCACGTGTAGACTCCTCTCTCTTGTTGCACTGTTATTCTGACAGTGTGCAATCACTGACCTGTTCACCAGACACACCGCAGCCCAGGAGCAAAAGCGCTGTTAGGCTACTAAAACACACACCTTTATTGCCAGTGTTGATTTTATTCTGTGTAAGACTCTTCCTTGGAAGAGCCCAAACGGGCAGCCTGAATTTTGCTGTCAGAGAGCAATGCAAGAGGAACACACCTCATGAACACTCTTTCTGGTGCTGCTGTGAACTCTTACTGCCACTTGGGCCTGTTGATTTCAGGCTGATCCAGATGACCTTTTAAGATTCCCCCTGTCCGTTCTCTTCACTCAACGTGTCTGTGGACAGTTGCCGTGAATGCATTTGAGTGCTGACACCTGCTGTTCTCACGCTAGCAATTCCTCAGCATTTGTGTCCCAGTGTCTACAGTCTTGTTGTGGGTTTGCCTGTACTCTTGGGTTAAAAAAAACAACCACATGGGATCTTTATCCATGGGTAGGTGCAGTGGATATTTCGACATCCTGCTCAAGTGCCTGACCAGGAGCAGCGTGGCAGCGAGGTAAGGCTTGAGGTGGTTTTGGCTGAGGTGCTTCTCTGAAATTTGAGCTCTTAAGATTTTACAGGTCTTTTTTTTTTCCAACCTAAATGATTCTGTGCCTCTTTCTGTTCCCTTCCCGTGCAAACCATCCACAAGAAAGGTGGACAAAAATGCTAAAATGTCCCAAACTGCTCTCTACATTTAACAGATTTTTTGAAACGTGTAAAAGGGAGACCCTTTGAGCTGTCCAAAAGAGAACTGATAAATCATCACTCTGTGCAGGCTCAATTTGTCATCTCCTTGCAGCTCCCAAATACCACAAAGAAACTTGCAATGCAGTAAATTTGGCCACGAGCAGTAAATATCATGGTGTTTTAATTAAATTAGAATTTGTGGGATTCCAGGGGCTGGCTGACCCGGGTCTTCTGGCACATGGACTGTTCAGAGTGCATCAGCATGGATAAGGAAGGAAGGGTGTGCTGGAAATGGAAGAGAACAGGCTCTGTAAAAAGAGGAGATAAGCTGTGATGAATCCTTGCCATCCACAGCACATTTGGCACTGGAAAAACCTAAGATAATGATTCTCTGGTTCTGCAAGTGCTTTGAAAATGAATACGAATTGAGCATTAAAAAATGTGCAGCAAGGAAGAGGGAGCACCTCTTCATCTGCCCTCTCCTTTGAGTGAAAAATGAGCCATTAAAGAGCTGGGAACCTCCCTTCAGCAACATCCAGCAGCAGATGTGTCCTGGGGCACACAGCTACGCTGGCCTTCTGCTTAGGGAGAGGAAGTGTCTCCCTGATTTTAGCTGGGCCCACATTCCATGGATTTGACTCCCTGGCCGTGTGCCAGGGCGGTTGGACAGAGCCCAGGGTGGGCAGGGACTCTGCTCTGCTGTGGGGCATTGCTGCCACCTGCTGCCATTCCACACGGCATTCCTGGAGCCTTTGCCAGAGTGGGAGCTCTCCCTTCCCCTTCCCCTTCCCCTTCCCCTTCC